CACACACACACACACACACACACACTCACTCACTCACTCACAATCAATCAATCAATCAATCAATCAATCAAACCCCTTTTTTGAAGTTTTTTCTTTATTTATTTTCAAATTTTACATCTGCATTTTTTTTAAACACCTCATACCCCTGCAAAAAACAGAAATTCATTTCTAAAAAAATACAGGTGAACTCAAGGACCATATATCTAATGATAAAAAATGAAGAAAAAAAAAATCCAACTTCTTTTTATATACATATTTTTTAATTTTTTTTAAATCGAATTTAGTTTTTGATATTTTAAAAATCCGAAACAAAGTCGGATTCCAAAAAACAAAATATGGGGTTGTAGGGCTTAAAATTTCCTACAACCCCATATATATATATGTTTTAACCTATGATTTAATTCAGGAAAATTCTGGTAAAATCGGGTCCGCGGCGCGGACCAGGTCGGCCGCGGACGCGGCCCCATCTGCGTCCGCCATCCGAGATTGGACCCACGGATGCGTCCGCGGGTGTTTCATAGCCCGCAGTAGGTGCGATGCTATTCGTTCCCCACGAGCCTCCAACCAAGCTCATATACAACACATGCCTTGTGAATTGTGACAGTCCGTCCCCAGCTTAAGTAGGCGGTATAGTGTGTGTTGGCTTGCTTTGTCAGTCTGTAGTTTGCTCCACCCTCTAGTGGGTCGCGCCAGCTCAGGGAAATGTCGATGGTTAGGCGGGCTTTTTCGCATCTGGTACCCGAAGCTTTCAGGTTGGCGCTTACGGTCCTTTTCCCGGGAAGGCGCCGTATCGTGCGGCCTCAAGGGCATGGGTGTAAGCGTGGTATTCACGTAACTTTGTACAAGGAAAACAAAGAAAACATAGAAATCTTCTTTTTCAAGAAGCATGCGCCGCATGGGGTCATATTTTCTGTTGCAAGTGGTAGTCCACGATCTTCGTGATGAGATCCACTCCTCCCCCCCTTTTTTTTGGGGGTGGTCCGGGGTGGCGTGCCTCGTTTTTTTTCAGCAGTGGCCGCTTATGCTTAAAAAAAGGGAAAAAAAAAAAAAAAAAAGGGAAAAAAAAAAAATGGGGGGACCAAGGAAAGAAAAAAGGAAAAAAATAAAATCAGTCCATGCCACATGGGACGGTGGTGGATGGGGTGTGTTTCTTAACTGACTGTTTATCACATGCCATCACACTCTGACAATTGCACAGGCGGCAGGGGAGGGGTGGATGGGCTCATTCACCTCATGAGTCCCACGGCACCCCAGCCAACCCCCGCTCAGGGGATCCAAAAAAAAAGGAAAATCCTACTCCGCCTCTTACCATTATTTGTACATGTGGTCATACTAGCGAGTGCAAGAGTATGTGCAATCTCCCGTGAGAGAGAGAGAGAGAGAGAGAGAGAGAGAGAGAGAGAGAGAGAGAGAGAGAGAGAGAGAGAGAGAGAGAGAGAGAGTTGTCTATCGGTAGGATGAACAACACACCGGCCAGCAGGTAGGTCTCGAACCCCGAGGATGGCTCCACAGTACTTCCATCGATAAGATGAGCAAAATTGAATGAATCTTCCGCTATGACATGAAAATATACACTACTATATATGTGTGTGGGGGGGGGTGTG